GTTGTTGGGACACTCCTCAGGGTTGTTGTTGGGACACTCCTCAGGGTTGTTGTTGGAACACTCCTCCGGGCTGTGGTCGAAGCCGTGGGCCGCCGCCGCGGCGTCAAGCAGCCACCGGACCGACCCCGGATCGGCCGCGGTGTGCCACCGCCACAGCAGCTCCACGTCGAGCACCTCCACCGCGTCCTCCGAGCTCCCCTTCTTTCCCCTTCCCTTTCCCTCCCCCTCCACTTCTGCGCAGCCGAAGACCTGCAAGCGCGCGAGGGCGGGCGCAACCCCGGAGGCGTCGAGCGCGTCGGCGAGGCGGTCCCACGCAGCCGGCGTGAGGCGGGCGGGGCTGGCGGGAACCTCTCGCAGCTGCCGCCGCGGAGACGACGCCAGGCGCCGCAGCCCCTCCCGTGTCGAGTGGCCCGCGCGGAAGAGGAGGTTAGGGCAGTACGCCGCCCCTTCCGTCGCGGCCGCGGCGCCAAGCCCCTCCCGCGCGAGCCGGTAGCCCCGGCATCATGGCGTAGCGGCAGTGGGTGCGCTTGAGGGGGTGGAGGAAGTGGGCCTGGCCGTCTACCTCGATGCCAATCACCCGCGGCCGCCGCCACGCGCTCTTGGGCTTGATCTCGATCGTGTAGTCGGCAGTCAGCCCCGCGCATGTGCCCGCACGAGGAAAGGGGAAGCCCGTACATGGACGGTGGAGGAGGGCCGCCGGATTGACAGTAAAATTAGAAAGCAGCATCACTTCGGTTGCGCTATTCAGCAAGACAAGATGGTTCGGCGATACCCTCGCCGAGAGATGGGCTCTTAATTCCGGTGTCATGGAAATAATTATTCGACTCCCAACAAACGACTTCAGAGCTCTGGCGCATTCCTCGCATTCCCTTTGAGGGGTATCGCTGATGCGTAAGGCGACATGATATGGAAACGCGATTTCGTAAGGATTCTTCGAAAATGGGAGAATACACAATTTTTGAAGCTCTGAAGTACAAACCCCAAGGACAATGTTTCGACGACCAGATCCTAGAAATACTATACCGTTCGCATTACTACCATTGGTTTCACACATGTATGAAGACAATTACTAAAATCGATTACTCATGAAGCAGAAAAAGTTGGGAAAAGCCCAAATGCATTTAGATCCTGAGGGCAACTACCCTTTTTGCATCCTTCGGTGGCTCTTCTTGATTTGGAATAGCGAAACAAAATGTACAAACAATACTGTCTGGATCTGTTGAGAGCTGTTTGAATGTTGTTATTGACAAAAACACCCGCTAGGGTCAAAAAATCACTGTACCATCAACCAGGGGGGAGTAAATACGCTATCACCCTAACGGTCGATATCTTTTTGCCCTAATACGACAAAAATTTAAAGTGAATTTGGTGACTTCAGGCATCGCTGTTTCTGAGCTTTGATCAGTCTGACTACATGATGCTCGTTTCCATCGTCAGCCACCTCTTCAAAGTTCTCGCTGAGTGGTGGTCTGGGCTTTGCCCCTCCTTCACCTCCCTCAGGTCGAGAGCGCACAAAGCCAGCACGGCGAAGAAGCTCCAACGCTCGCACGCAATCCAGATGACTCCATTGGGAAAGTAGGCCCTGAAGAATGCTCTCGGATGTATCCCAATGGGTTGGGCTTACGTTGTCATGGTTGACCTCCTCCGACGAAACCGTACTTTTGTCCGCCGGATCCCGCGGCAGGCTCATTGCACGGGTGGTGGCTTCAAAGAGGCGAAGCGATACGCGCCACTTCTCGTCCGGATTGATCCGCTCATCACACCACACCACGACCTGCTCCGGGCAACCCTCAAGAAAGCGGCGGCAGCTGACGAGGTAACTCGTGGCGTCTGGGCAACCTCGAGAAGCGCGCACAACCAAACATCGCTCCTCCAACGTTGGCGAACGAATGCATTTAAAAAAATAAATCGCAGACATCCAATCGCGTGTATGAGTAGAGGCCATTCGTAGCATGTGAGAAGAAAAAGACGCTTTAATGGGATGCTGCAAAGAACGGTTCAGAACGTGGTGAAGATACCCAAGCATCAGCAACGGACTCAGGGCTTCTGGATTTTTAAGCAGCATCGTAAGAGACTTTCGATCGTGCTTGAGAGACTTTACAAGGATTGAACTTTCAAGCAGGCGATTGTAGATTGCTCTAGCTAGTCGCTGGTTTTCCTCGGTGTTGGTCGCCCCTTTTAACGCACTCACGACTTCTTCACTCTCACACATACGTTGAATAAGTTTAGCAATGGCTGTGCACAGGGAACGTTGCGAATCGGAGATTTCAGAAATCATCACAAGCCTGAGTAGACCTTTGAGAGCCGCGGTGGGGTTGTTTTGCAACAATCCCGAAGTAATTATAAAGGCGCTCGAGACCAATGCTGAGTAAGGTCGAGCGGCACGAAGCCTCCCTAACTGTTCGGCCGATACGTCAGGGCTCGCCATAACCGATATCAGCCAGAGATCCTCCACAGTCTCTGCGTTCTCTTCATGAAGAGAGAGGATAGCTTCGGCTGCATCCCGCCCAGAGAGAACTTTCAGAAGCCGCTGAAACCCGTGTTCGTCGATATCGTGGGGTTCCACCCGCTCTTTTCCGCAGGCCCGAACCACACGACGAAGGGCTATTTCGGTATGCAGTGTACAGAAACTTGCACCTAGCAGCTTTTTCTTTTCGAGTACCAGAGCTTCTTTTACGCGAGGCGAGAGGCGCTTTTGGGTGCTCCGATGCTCGTTTCTGCCCTGACCGAGGAGCGCCGCCGTCGCATGTAGGATTCGTGAGGTCTCACGGGTGTCGCCCACTAGCAGCTCTTGCAGCAAAATGTTAAATTTGCTCCGCTGTTCTCTCCATATTCGTCGCGCCCATTCGATCTGCTGGTGATGCGGTGTGTAGTATACGATGCGTGCAAACACATCCACCAGCTGCTCCCTCTCATCAGATACGGGATGCGTCACCACATGTTGCCGGCTTGGAGGGTCTGGCAACACCCCCTCACACTGCTTACGACACCAACGAGCGTAAACGCTCGCCACGGCCTGCCATTTACCTAAAAGATTGAGCGCATTGACACCTACAGTCATGGCTGGAAGGTGGATATCCAACTTGGGTGAGGGAATCGATACGAACGCCTTGCACGCCGTGGTCGCCTCAGGCCGACACCTCAGGCTCTTACAGGCCTTCAGGAAGCCCAACGCGAGTCCGCAGGTATCGGATGAGGTAAGCTTCACACGACCTTGCGCGCAGCATCGCGCCAACTCGCGAAGTAAGAGGGTTTCACGACTACAAGGCGCACGTCTAGCGTGCATCCGTAGATAATTCACAATCAAATCGCACATCGCATGGCAGTCCTCCATCGTGGCTACCTTTGTAGAGGAACCTAAAAAACTCCTATAAGCGTCCAATGGGGAGACCGCCTTGGGATCCAAAGAAGGACCCGCAAGCTTTCGTCTAAGGGTCGCAGCAGTAACGGATGGGATCACTTTGAAAAAGTACTTCAGGTCCCTCGCAGGCGCGCACGAAAGAACAAGTTGCATGATGTCATTATTTGCGAATACGTGGCACTCCACCGCACCGACATCGTTCAGACCGTCCTCTGATATGCGTTTAGCCGCAAGCAGCGAACGAAGTCGCGAATTTGACAGTGCAGCGGATGACTGCAAAATACCACGCCAGTCTCCGTAAAGTGCGCGTGCAAGGAGCTGGGGATATGTGAGTTGATTTACATCAACCTGGGGTTTGTTGGATGGCGTGTTGCTACCGCAAGCACGTGGTGGTACTCTCCCCTCAATACGCGCTTCCAGAAGTGCCAAAACGTCCTTCTCGTAGGTGATCAAATCCACAGGCAATTCGTACGTTGTAGGGGTCCTTAAATGCGGGGTTAAGGTTGAAGCCAGATCGTAGCATTGTGCACCGCAAGCCAACGCAACGGCCTCTGCCCAGAAGCCTTTCTTCCTCAGCACCTCAAGACGACGCGCAAATGTGCCTGGGTACATGCGCTGCCCAACATGCTGTAACGCGTCTGCCATAATCACAATGAACTTTGGGTTCTCATGCGGAATCCGGGCAAGAACGCTTTTCCGCAAAACGCTGTACATTTGCTTAGCCGGTGAAACTTTCGAAAAAATTGAAAGACACTCACACCACGAGGGGGATTGGCTCGATCCGGCGATGACGTCAGCACGGGAGAGAAAATCCAACCGCGCGTCATCGTTGTCCGGGAAGCGATCCAAAACCTGAAGCGCCTGTCTCCAGTTCGGGGCCGCGATGACGGCCTCAGGGGCCTCTCGCGCCGTGAGATCCGGCTTCGCCGACAAGGAGCGACGATGCACATGCCTAGCAAAGCTAACCTTCGTCGAGAGGCGCACGACGTCGCTCGATCGGACGATCGAGAGGGCCTCCTCCCATCCCCCACTATGCGCATGTAAGCGGGCATAACCCATCACCAACCGCTCCCTGGTGGTCGTGGAAAGGGATTCACGACCGGCCAGAGCGAGCTGCTTACACAGGTTTAGGGCAAGCAGGGCGTCATCGGGGGCAGACGAGGAGCTTCTCGACTGATGGGATTCTCGCGGGTTGGGGCGGGCCGCGATCCCTAATTCGTAAAGGTGCTGCAAAACATTCCAGGGAACTGGGAGGACTTCATGAAGCTGGGGTCGACCCCGCAGCGCCGCGGAGACCTCCTGGGCGAAGCTTACCACCGTTCGGCAGCGTAGCAGCAACCGAAAGACGCCCAACAGATCGGGGTCCCCCATCTCCCACGACTCCAACACAAGCCTCGAGAAGCTCCATGGGCGGCTTTTCCCGCGTCGTTTGAGATACTCTTGCTGATGAGCTGGCAGGACGGCAAGCTGCAGAGACATCAGGGCGCAGGTATCCTTCCATGGAACCCGATGCCGACGCAGGGTTTTCCAAATAAGAGCAGAGCTACGCGGCTGCCCCAGGAGTATGCAGGCAGGTGTATTTAGAGCAGATAAATTTCTGGAATCCATGGAAGTCGATCGCGACGAAGATACTACCTCAACTTTCAAAGTGGATTCTGATGAGGACGAACTCGAAACCGAAGCGATTTTAGTTGTCTCTTCCAGCAACTTCAAAATCTCGGTAGAACTGTTTGTAGTTGGTCTAGCAGTTGAAAATTCCTTCCATTTCTCGAGAAGCAACCGAATGTCTTTGGTAGCATTGCTTCTCCACGATTTACTTAGGCGCATCACAACCACATATTTGTTTCCTTCCATAGATATTTCCATGGGAAAAAAACAGGAGAATCAAGAAAAAGTGAATTAAAAAAAGCAAGTCAAACTCGGAATCACAAAATGTGGTAATTAATTCCAGAAGATGCCCCTCACTTAGTGTAACCGTGTAGAAGATGCAAAACCAAGAAGAGAGCACACGATATTTTTCTAAAGAACAACAAAGGTACCTCCCCCATAGCAAAACCCACCTACCCATACATCCACACCCGAAACAAAGAAACGAACGCGAATTTCATCAACACATAAACTGATTCGGCTTCCAGCGTTGCTGAAACATCGGGTCCCTATATTTCCATCCTTTCACCTCTAAGTCATTCCAAATCAGGGGACGAGGGTTTTTGTCGGCATGCGGGTGGATACTATCTTCGTACAGCCATGCCTTTTCGAGTGGCGCGACGCGTGTTTTGAGTTTCCTTACAAAATGTCTATTCACTTCGTCCTTCAGGTACCACCACATGATCATACATGGATCACGTTCATACATCTCAGAAAGGCGGACGCGGTACTTACCGCCCGGATAAGCCGTCTGCCATGTGATTGGTACCCGTATCCACGAATCCCCCGTCATGACGGCATCCTTGATGTTGATAATAATAACGTGATCGCCCGTCAGCATGCCAGGAGTGAAGTCTGGTCTATGCTGCCCTGTCATGTACTGGCTCGCGACAGCCGCCACACGCGGCAGCTGCTCACCGCTGGCATCTAAAATCCACCATCGCTCCCCTTCGCGGCAGAGCCATTGCTTAGACATATCGTTGTACAGCGGTAGGCCCTCGGGATGGAATTTATGTCGCCGCAAAACACTCTTAAACGGGGCGCCGACCAAGCAACTGTTACGAAGCATTGGGGCGATTATGAACAGCAAATGGATTGCTGATATGTTTCAAAAGTTTACTAATGCACTCACTCAACAAGAATGCGACTTACAAACACGCAAAAAAATGGACGAGAACATCTACAAGGAAAACGTAATACAAAATACATGCATGCTACACCGGCTAGAAACTAGAAAAGAAAATTATAAAACTCGTAACAATAAATGGGGCCCGACAGAGAATTTTTCTCACCTCTTCCAATAGGCTAAACGGAAAAAAGCTAGAAATGCAATCCTAAAAATTTACAGATTCCCTCTAAAGATCCTGCCATGTTGTGAGTTAATGTAGACTTCAATGAACACAGAACATAGGATGCCTATATGCGCATATAAGCATTCTAAACGTTGAATTATCTACTGTCTTTTGGAATAACATTCGCTTATTTATCGTTTACGTCCTTCAAATAGGAACTCACACCCACATTACAAAAAGAAACTAGTCTAAAATTACGTTTCGAAAGTCCTTCACATTATTTTTCCCTTCCCTTTCGCTTAACACTACAGTCACATGTATGAAAAATATGTTACTCTAAATATCAAGAAGTAAAGGGATTTAAAAATGAAAACGAAAAGGATGACGATAAGTGCCGACACATTAGACAACTAATATCAATAAGGAATAACACGGATCCTAAAAGTCCTTAATTCTTTGGATTGACACTACACACACACACACAGCCACAGACACACAGATATATATATATATATATATATATATATATATATATATAA